GCTATCTCTGTTAACTCTACCTCCCATTGTATTTGTGCACCGCTCGAGTGCACGCTAAGAGATATGTCGTCAGATGCTGAGTACTGTATGAGAAGAGAGTCCCAGAGGATCACTGCCCGGTCTGCTTGGTTAGAGACTAGTCTTCCTTCGCGTAGAAGCGAAGGTGGGACCTAGGGAAGTCTCGGCTTTGTCAATTGCATCAATTTGAACATGTCTGTCGTAGATCGCATGGCCTCCACTTGCTTTTTCCAGTACTCTCTCTTGGCCGAGGCTACTATAGCCCTCAGGGCTTTCGCATAGGACTTCCGCATTGCTTCTGTGCCTGTTTCCTTCATAGTCATAGACTCAGTAGGGACTTAAATTTAATTCTATTCTGTGCCTGTTTCTCGGTATCCTTGGTTTGTGGTTTTGCACTGCCGAGTCCGCCATGGTGCTGATCTGCCGCTTTCACGCGTCAAGCTCTTGCCGCACACTTTTAACCCAACTGTCAAGATTCGGCTTATTTCCGCTGCATAGGCGTCAACTTCCTCAACTGATTGCAAAGTTCTAGGTGCTCTGATCCAACGGAAAATTGCTTGTGCGAAAAGGGATAGCTTTTACTTAGGAACCCGGAGAAGACCTTTAGGGCTTTCCTTCTTATCGTATCTGCTTGGCACACAGCCACATAGTGGAAGGTAGCCGCTCATCATGCATTCACCTCGTTATACCCTTACCTGAGCACTATCCATATTTAGCCAAGCCAAGTCAAGAGTGTAGCCCGCCCTATATGCGGGTTCACCAATTATAAGACAGGTTATGTTGTGTTCCTCCGCCCAACTTTCAATTTCCTCTCCATGTCCATAAAAGCGCGTCGCACCGGGCTGTCAGGCCCAGTGAATTGAAGTCTCCGGCTGCGATTGACCACGGTTGGGGCTTCCAGTTAATTTGTGGATGTATGGCTGAATTGTCGTTGTGTACTTTGTAGACATTGAGAAACGTCACTCCGTTCACAGTAACCCAACAGTAGTCTCCTATCTGTTGCGGGACTGGAAATATCTGTGTGGTAGAGATTTCTTCTCCTTTATTCTTGCGTACGTCACGGCTCTAGATCTTACCTTTATCCCACTGTGTGGAATATGACTGTGGTATTCAGGGTGTGATTTCATTTGACTGGACCACCAGGGTTCTTATACAAGCACAACATCTATACCTCTCTCATGTGCTCGAGATAGCACGATGTCGTGTGTAGGACTTCCTCTGACAACGCTTATTGACATAAAACTGAGCTTAGATAGAGAAGGGACTCGGTCCTGAGGGACGCCCTTCATAAGCATGGGGTGGCGTCAGTCGGTAGGATTGACGCAGCAGAGATTGGAGCCGACGAGGGCTGAATTGGCGTTGTACATGAAGCTCTCGCATTTTCAACTGCAGCTTTCGCTCGCTTTACCGCCTCAAGTTCCTTTTGACCTGCATTCCGGATAGTTTGTAGTTGTAACTTTGAGTGCGCTCCAGCCCGGGTTGTATGAGCTAGACAGTTACGGCTGTCTGACCTGTGGGGGCCGCCACAATTCCGACACTTTGTTGGTGCTTCGCAATTCCTCACTATGTGCATGATGGATCCAAATTTGCCGCACGCTGGAGTACGGAAGCACCCAACTGCCAAGTGGTGTCGTTGGCAGCGCGTGCATATCACTTGGGGCCCCCGCTGCTTTTTTGGACATGCCCTAGAAAAGAAGTCGAATTGAGATCCTTTTATCATTTATGATTGCATAAACTGCCCTCTACCAACAAGTCCACGAGCAAAGTAGTGGGTTGTATTTTTTTGAATTTGAATTCATTTAACCCGATCAGGCACCCTATGAGTCTATGCAGGTGATTACCTCCATTATTTACAGAGGAAACCTATTTGGTGATAACCCCCTGATCCCTTCTGTTTATATTACTATCAATTTGTTTAGTTTACCTTCAGGAAGTGCAGTGTACACTGTTCAGCCCGTGTAGATTCCGTCTTCTCCCCTCCCAGATCCGTTTATTATATCTGACATTGCTACCTCGAATTTCCCTGCAAGTCGAAACTGTTTCATCCACCCTTTGCTTAGTTATCCACTATGTTATTCTAGCCACAACTTCTGGCCTGTTCATCATTGCTTCAAATGATCTGTCTCTAGCTTGTCGAACAAAGTCGCCTCTTCCATTTGCCCACTGCGGACACGCCAATACCGTTTGTTTGATGTCTTGTGACGGATATCCACACTGACAGCTTGGCTTTTCTACTCCGGGTACTTTCCTTCTGCACAGGTAAGAATTAAGCCCGATATGCTCGCATCTTAGCTGAATGGCGACACTGCTTTGGGCCCTGGTTAAGTTGGGTAGATTTTTAAGGGTGTATCTTCGAAATTCATTTTGGTGCTGCCTATTTGTTCATTAGTAAACATATTCGCCGCTTTCCAATGTTCTGGATCGGCTGATGCTGGTCAGCCAGGACGCTGTTTTCTGTTCCAGCTTGTCATGAATTTTTCCACCCCTAAAAGACCGCTATCTTTCCAGCTTCTTTCTGTCTCCCCTTGTCATTTTCCCTCCCGCAAGTTCTTTTCCATTCGGCGATATCTTTACTCTTGGTCAATACATGCGGAGTTTCTCTCCCGTTTGCGGGCGGCTTTATCCTCTTACATGTTGATCGGATTGTCTGTTGCACTGGGAGTTTATCTGATAGTCCGGCGTGCTGGCCCCTCCTTTGTTTCAGGTAAATCTCTATAGGGAGGGCAGAAGATTCAAGCTCTATCACTCTGTTACTAGTAGAATTGTAGGCACCTGCAACAAACTTTAAGCATTTTCATTGAATACTTCTGAGGCATTTCACTATCCTTTCAGGTACCTTTCCTGTTGGCCCGGCCTCAGCCCATATCGAAGACCCATACGTGAGGGCCAGTCTCACTATTGAGCTATATAACAGCTTAGACTTCACGAATGTCGCTTCTCAAGTTGATTGTGTCAGTCTACTAATTGATTGCACTTGAGTGTACGATTTTTGCTGGATATTCTTTATGTGGGCCCCCCAGTTGAGTTTGGGGTCGAAGAAGACTCCGAGAACTCGAAGAGAAGACTGCGGTGAAGTAAAGTGTCCTTGTATAGTCACTGTGGCTTTTAGGTTGTGTCTGTTCCTTGCTCATGTGAAATGCATCAATTAGTACTTCTCCGGTGCAAATTTTACCTCGTGTTTCTTTGCCCACTCCTCGCGTATGCTATGCAGCGGGTTATATGTATATTAAGGACTATTGCAGTAGCGGAAGAGAGCTCTTTTTTTTTTTTTTTAAATCATTTAATGTGTATTCAGCTATCTAGCTATGACACATGACCGGTGCTATGTATACACGTTGGATGACTCTTTTGACGTTAGGGACACTCATACTCTGGATTTCATTTGCAAATACCACTATGAGGTATGCTCGCTTACACAAACAGTCGACCCTCCTCCGTTAGTACCCACCAAAGGGAATTTCAAAACCATTGGTTATCCAAGCATGCCTTTGTCATCCATGCATACCAGCGCCGCGAGAAATGTGATTGTGTTTTGCCGGATTCGAACCAGCGATCTACTGTCTCAAGTGGGATATGTGTCCAAGCTATCCAGACTCTACTTGGCAGACCGGCCAAGACGATGTACCACCGCACCATCCAACCATGGCGGTGTCTATAGTGTCGCCTGCACTCTCGCAACCGAAGACTTGGCACGCACAAAGCTCAATTTGTAAAAACTCCTTTCAAAATTTCAAAATTCCATGCCCGTCGAGACTGTATCCATCCTTCGCATCATCTTGTGAACTTGTCCTAATCCCTCTCACGTCCATTCCAAAGAACAGTCTCCCAGATTTGTGCGCCACGCTTTGCTTCCTCCGTCGGGTGTAAATATCGGCGTGGGCGTGTATCTGGCGACCAGCTGAGGCCAGAGAAAGTCGACGAGAGGTGTGGTCATTAGAATGAGGATGTACTAGGTCGTACTTGTAAACTTGATGAGGCTTAGGTAGGATTCGATCTTTTTTGGAATGAAAATTTGACGTGGTGGAGTTATGTGAATCATTGCCTCGTGGGCCAACTTGTTCGGTATTGCGAAATTTTACTGAACTTGGCTCTGAGAGAATATTTCACTCCCAGGTTCGTAGAGAGCACCACTGACAGGTGATCAGTCTTGCCCTCCGGAAGAGAGCTCAAGGTTATGAGTGCTGACACAACCAATTATAATTTCCTCTATTCTTTTCATTCCCTTTTCACGGTGTTTTAAGTACAATGAGCTCAAAATTCATTAATTCTAAAATGGGTAAGGTCGAGTAGGGCAATACTGAAGGTTAAAGCTCAGCCAGCTCCACTGATCCTACTCCTATGTTGATATAAGGTCTAGGCTATGGGCTTAAAACTTTTTAAATAGATGCTTACGTCTGAGTCCGGGCGCCAGAGAAGAAATAATGTGCCTAACTAGGCTATGCTCCGTCGTAAATGAAGATCGGATCATATATAGCCCTTTTTTTTATCAAATTGTATTCAGAAAGCTAGCCATGACAATGCATATAGCCCTTATGCTTTAGTACAAATACTAGTAATTTGGGGTCACGGGATATTCGAACCCCACACCATAACTAAAGTCTACTTATATTCACATATTCTATTCCACTGGGAACTCCATTCTTTCAGAAAAATCTAGGATACACCCTCATGCATATCTGAATCTTAGTTCTAGGGGAGGATATCCGAAAACCTCCACTTGACACATGTCAGAAATTTGTTTACCCACATCCCACTACAAATTAGCTCCGAGTTTGCTTGATCGTTGACTGCCCAATATACCCCGGTTTACTATTAGATGCTTCAGTGATCTTGAGTCGGATCTCTAGTTTACCTCCAGATTAAACTGGATGGAATTCTACCAACGTGGGCAATAACTCAGATGGGATTTGGTAGCTTGATATTCCCATGGTGACAGTTCCTCATAGTCATAGCCTCCGTAGGGACTTTGTTTGAATCTTGATCTATTCCAATGATGATGGGGAGGCCTTGAGACTTAAACATGAAAAAAATTTTCCGTTGACACACTTGAAGACTCCCAAAAATTTGCAGTCTAGGTCTAATTTGAGGTAACTATAACGTTGTCTTTGAACTTAACACTGTGGTCAGCTTGTTAAATGAGGACTTTTGGGGTCTGTTACCATTTTTATCTCCATTTAATTCTGGTAACCTGAGAGGCCAGAACCGAGTATTTATTTCTCCATGCTTAGCGGCGGGGTCTGGAATTGGAAACGAAGACTCCCCGGCCGCAGCTTTTCTAGCATCTTCTCGGATTACTCTGCAGGCCGCCTGCATGTGGCTATTCAATGTGATGATGGAGAAAATTCTCTGACCGCATTTGTAAGCGCTTAAATTGTCGAAAATGGTCTCTCCGATGGAATTCTTCGTGCCATCCCCTACAGTCGAAAGCTTTGGATCAACAGATTTCATTTCAATACATCGATGCCAATCTTTATTATTTCTGTACATAAGACCAAGCATATTTTTGGCTCCGTTGGTCGCGATGCGATACAGTCCCGTTCTTGCAACTAAGCCCAGTCAGATCATCTACAACATCGAGAAGGTCCCTTTTACTTGCGAGAGCCTGGCCTAACCATGCCATCGGCGTAAACGGGCCAGAGATATACATCACTACCAGAAAAATCATCTGAAGAGACCTTGATGGGTTTTAAACGTCTAGTTGTTCCTGCGGGTTTGAAAAATTGCAGTCGCAGATACTCAAAAGACCTGAGGATATCCTGATAGTGGAATATTTTATGATCGCATCTGTAACCAAAGTTTTTGGGTAGCGTATTAGACCAAATGTCCGATCCGATATCTGTTGCATGATCAGAATCTATAGTTTCTGCGCAGCGAAAGAAGCTTCGATTATTCAAGTAGATAAGTCCGATTAGATTGCACATGGAATCTATAACAAATCTAGAATCTATGCGACGCGCTGTGAAGCGGTTAGAAAGCATTTACGGCACGGGATACTTCATTTACTGCTAGTTTCAAGGATAAGTAAATTGCCACCTTCATATTTATGATCATGACACGCTCTTGTTGGCGTGGAGAACAAGACTGCATCGCGTATGCCGAAAAGGACTGTACCGTCAAACGCTGCTATCGCTCTGCATTTAATGTCGGCGTATTCGAGGGCGTTGCAGGAATCTCCAATGGCTTTTGATATTACATCGGCAGGGAAGTATTTTCTTTCACACACAAAGCTCCTCGGGCGATCTGTTGCCGCGATGGTGTTGATATAGAAGCTAATTATGACTGCAAGCTTAGACAACTGAAGTCTCATTTTCGCTTCTTCTCAAAAGCAGGCGAGAATAGAGAATATCGTTGGTCTCAAGCTATAATCAAAGTGAATAAGAATTGAAAGCTGCCGTGCAATGTCTAGACTTCTGATGTATTCAATGGACGATCCACAAAATTGAGTCATGAGACTATGCACGATAGATTATGAGAAGGAAAATCCTACCAAATTTGGTTTCCCGGCAAGTCTTGGGATCAGTATCTACAGTTCCTATGTTCGAGAACAGATAAATTAGAAATTATGCGGAACAACTACAAAAAATAGCTCTGAATAGTAAACAAATCCCGTTTGGAATGAGTACAGGCCAAATGCATCACCTAGATCCTAGATTGATTTGAAGAAGTCATTCTGAAAGCGAGATGAGTTAAAATTTCAGCAGGTTTCCTTGTGTAAGTCGGATTGGAATATTCTCCTAGAGACATCGTTTGGCGCAATTTTGTCGCACAAGAGAAGGCTTACGAGGCCATGATACATAACTTCAGTGACATCTATCCGGAAGAAAGATTTGGTGTTTATGTAGGTTTGTTTTAGAACAACTTGAATCTAATCACAACACCTCCCACCGACTCGCTCTCTGGCTTCAGCAGTCCTGCACATGAATGCTCATGAGAAGACGAGTTCATACGGAAGGGAACAAATCTTTGCGCAAAAATCGTAGCTGCAGATATTATGGGTATAACGTGCGAGATATTAGAATAGAAGAAACGATGTCGCAAACGATAGATTTAAATTGGAAAAGCCACGAGGTTGACTTGTAGGTTGGTATTTTTTCACTAAAAATCACGCGCGCCGAGACTTGGTTTTGTACGGTCACTTTTGTTTTTCTTTCTCAGTCTGCAACTGGATAGGACATGTAAGTCGTCTCTGTCTATGGGCCAAGGACACCTATGTCAGAAGTTTATCCCCTCATATGCCTCCCACACAGCTCCCCTCAATAGCTCTCATTCGATCACACACTGAGAGGAGCCCTTTGCCCTTTAATATTTCCCCTTCCCAGCCAATAAAAAGATGGCCATTTGCGGGTGTATGGCGGCCGGGAAAAGTCGCAAAATGCACAGGATACGAGGCTCTCAGAATACCGACATCAGATCAAATCAGAAGGCGCAACTACCTTTCGGAGGCGTTTGGAGAAACTTGCCAACTCTCAAGGAGCTTACTGACAAAGTTCCATGGGGCATGAAGGGATATTTTGTAGGACTACAGGACAGAGTTGAAGTGGTCTTCTTTGAGGAGAGATTCTAAAGTGGTATAATTAGTGTACAAAATAGTAAGGAAATAATGACCCCTCAGTCATTGAGGTTGTAGAGCACATTGATTCGAGTGACTACCGAAGTGAAAATAAGTACAGAATTTGTAGTCACGTGTGTACCAACAACGTGGCCTACTTGATAGCCCCAATTATTCTAGATTCTAACACAAAATGTATAAGCAGTTGCGTGAAGAGCGCCCTCACACGCCTACCAGACTATACACAGGATAGTACTGCTGGCGCATATTTTCATAGCTAAAAAGCTGGATATAATGTGAGTATAAAAAATTACTGCTGGCACTTTTAGCACGAGCGGCGATATGGTCACTACTTGTTCGCTATCTGAACACTTTCACATTTGTAGATCCTGCATCCACACTCACTGCCTAGCTTACCAAGATCAAGCACGACCCTAATAGCCTATTATCACATAGACCGTGTCGAAAACAAACCAAATGAATTATCCCCTAATACATATCCATGAAACCAGTTGGGCGCTGCAGATTTAGGTTATCTCGAGAAGTTCACTCTCTATCTTTCTAGACTCCTTCCGACCATTTCCAAAGATCCTGCTCGAATCTCAGAAAAGTCTTGACCGAGAGTGATTATTGTGCGGTAGCTTAGCCCAACTTCTTTGGGCCGTCTAGAGAACTGGGGAGTGCCGTAGACTCATCAACAGAAGTCCTGGCAAGTTACCCGAAAACACCCCAAAGCAGAAAGCCATTTATAACTATCAGTCCCAGCATGCCCATCATGACCTATTCTCTCATGCGCTCCACACCCCGGCTGTCTATCTTCCCTCGAATTATAGAGTCCCGTCCAAGCCGTGGCGGGAGCTTAGTATGTTATGATTTGATTCCTCGTTGCAGGCATACTTAGCGTCATAATTTTGTAGCGGGAGATGGCCGGTGATCGATGAGATGAGCTCCCCATTGCAGTTAAAGCACTTCTGCGATGGGAAGATGTATGGTAAGATTGAGTTGGAATAGAATAGAATTTATAAGCAGAGTTATGCTTGCATGAGTCTGGGTCCAGTCCAAAAGCGAAAGCACCATCGGCGTGCAGGCATATCGGACTTTTGTGATGCCCAAGGGCAAGATTAGGGGTAGGAGTAGATATTATAGCGCTTCGATGGACCCGTAAAACGGAGTAGTCCATTGTTCATTCTTATATTCGCTCTCACCTATTGAAGATTCACGTGAGCGTAGTTCACTGAGTAGTTCGAGGCGAGATTCAAGACGTAGCTCAAGGTATCTCTAGAACATGAACAAGATAGGGTCAAAAGCTCTTCAAATTGGCTATCACATAAAATTAAATCCATAGATCAACCAGCATGGGTCGAGCTTCAGTGGTGTCCAGGCATTGAAGGCAATGACCTTGCCAAAATGGGAGTTGAAAAGAGGACCCGATCAAAGGATAAATTTATCACATATTTTTCTTCGACAAAAAGCGCAGCAGCACACTAAAGATTCTTGGCACAAATACTGGAACTCAGAAATTCTCAGAGAAGAGGGAGGAAAGAAAGCTAGAGGTCTTGGAAACCTTTACAGAATACAGGCAAGGAAGCAGACACCAAATTTCCGCATGAAACCTATCAATTTAGAACCATACAGCCGAGCAACTCAATCAGCATATTTTCAAGTCAGATTTGGAATTCGAAATATTATTTGTCACCTCATAACAATTGGAAAGGCAAGTAGTGTTTGAATTTCGAATAATTGGGGCTATCAACTAGGCTACGTTGTTGTTACACTCACGACCGCAAATTCTGTACTTAGTTTTGCTTCGGTAGTTGCTTGACTCAATGCTCTCTACAAACGCAATGACTGAGGGCTCATTATTTCCTTGATAAATAGTACTATCTGTTATTTCTGTGGGATAGAGAAGCAGACTTGCCACCACCAGGGGACTATTCTCAACACCTGTCAGTGGTGTGCCCTACGAACCTCCAGCTCTCACTGTAGAGTCTGCAGAGCCGAGATTGAGTAAAAAAGTCCTCGCTTCGACGAGGATTCCCAAACGTTTTCGCGGTCTGTATTGTCTTCATCTCTCTACACATTCCCCTATCACCATTATCATGAAGCTAACCACGATCAGATCAGATGGTAGGGTCGGAGCCCTACTCATCACCAAACCTCGATCACGGAGGAAAAGCCATCCGATGAGTTTCCGGAGCGTACCCAGCACCCGATACAGAGATGGCGCATTGGATCAAGTCGATCTCGACTATTATAAAGAAGGGAGATATAGATGAATATGCGCACCTCATGTAGACCCAGTGTCTAAGCCTTGCCTGGCTAGGGCTGCAGGTTTTTTGAGACTTTTTCCCGCGCACGCAGTTTCCATTGCTACAATTTTCATTTTTTTTGGGTAGAAGGTTCCGTGGAAAAGGTGGCCGAATTCCATAGGTAAACATTGAGATGAGTGGCTATTCATCAAGGGGAATATATCAATGATCTTTCAAGTAACAAAAGAGGACAGGAGCACTGTACAAGGTGTGGCCTGGGTCAGAGAGGAGCCCAATGTGCTAGATACTCTGTGACTCAAGTAGTACAATAAAAACACACAAACAAACAATGTCCATGTGATCAACTTTCTCTCATGGATGCCAGTTCTTCTCAAAGAGAATTTATTTCCTGTTCATACACCAATCTCATTGCCCTTATTTCAACGAGAAGAAATGACTCCGCTATTTCTGTTAAACCCTCGGTAGCTACTCGATCATTACTCATCTAAGCGTCCATTGTCGCTGCTTCAAGGTTTTCGAACTCCAAGGCTGTCTGAAAGGAGGGGTCGCTGTGTGAACCGTCAGTTTCGCTGGATGTTGAAGACGGTGTTGTATAAATTGGCATCCAATATCACTTCTATTTTTGTTTGATGATAACCCTGAGCCGCAAATAGAGGTCGCGATCTGCTCAATGACGGGTGACTCAAACTGAAAAGGGACATAGTTTAAAATGTGACGAAACCAAGCTGGTTGTAGTGTACTTTTAGAAAGATTAAACTATGTGAAGAGAGAAGTACCACAACTACGGGTAATGACTATTTTTACATCCTTCTAGCTCATCCAGTACGTACTTCGTTGGTGAGCATGACATATTGCTCCGCCACTGCCCCTCGTTATCTTTGTCATCTAGCTGACTCTCTCACTTGGCAATTCTACTTCGCCGTCTCACATTCCTTCCTAGCTCCAATGTAATGTGGCCAAGTGAAACTTAGTCGCTTGATACATGATAATATGTAACACTCTCCCCAATACGCCCCAAAACTCCGCTTGGGTCTCCACCTAAGCTAAACCAAGGTCAAACCGTAACAATGTCAATAAGTTCTTGTCCGAAATTGTACACTTCTTCGAGATATTTCCTCCTAGTAATCTTTGACAATTTCAAACAGTATCTACAGACCAAGCCATCATACGTATGCCAGAATTGCAACTGTTAGCTTATCATTACATGGGCCTTAGATTAATACTGACATAATACCAAGTGCCGAGAACTGTGATGTTTTTATAGCAACATCAGGAGAAGAGTAGAATTATAAAGCAGAGTCAATATGGGGAGGGGAATCCTTACATTGGTCTCACCCGGGCCCTCTCGCGCCCGGAGCTTGGTGGCGAACAGTTGTTATGCATGCAGGCAGTTCTAGAAATAGATTTGCACCTTTGGTGTTGTGCCTATTGTTTGCTGATGATATCTCAACAAACATGGCTCTATTTTCATGTTGATTTTTTTGGAAAAGAGCAGAAACAGACCCATTACCATGGCAACAAACTGATGATTCCCAATCTCCTCCTATTAAATCTCAATTATCAGAAATTAATTCAGAGTGAGACATTGAATAACAATTCATCGAGAGAATTCTGCAGGCATAAAATAGGAAATTTGGTCGAGGTCATTCAAGGATACTACTAGTCAAAAGGAAAAGTTTTGCAGAACCTGAATGAGAACCAAGAAGCAGCAGCTTAAAGGATCCCGGAGCACTAGACAAATTTGAAGGGCAATGCAGTATACAAGATAGTTTGGCCTGAGGGTACAGCAACCCTCGGTGAAGTCTACAAAAAGATTCAATACATATAGCAGGATACCAGCTGAAATCAGGGTATCTGCGAACTAGTCTTTCGCTCTCAGCGGAGATAAGAAAAAGTCACGTGGAAGATGTGGCAGGAAAGGGAACGGGCGAGAAGCGCGGGATCCGGACCAAACAGTATTTCTTCCAAATTTGATTTTAGTTTTGCTGTCAACTTCTACAATTTCAGTAGAAGTTCATGCGGTTGGAAGGGGGACTATTCTCAACACCTGTCAGCGGTGTCCCCTACAAACCTCCAGCTCTCACTGTAGAGTCTGCAGAGCCGAGATTGAGTAAAAAAGTCCTCACTTCGAAGAGGATTCCCAATCGCTTTCGCGATCTGTATCATCTTCATCTCTCAACACATTCCCCAATCACCATTATCATGAAGCTAACCACGATCAGATCAGATGGTGGGGTCGGAGCTCTACTCATCACCAAACCTCGATCATAGAGAAAAAGCCATCCGATGAGTTTCCGGAGCGTACCCAGCACCCGATACAGAGATGGCGCATTGGATCAAGTCGATCTCGACTATTATAAAGAAGGGAGATATAGATGAATATGCGCACCTCATGTAGACCCAGTGTCTAAGCCTTGCCTGGCTAGGGCTGCAGGTTTTTTGAGACTTTTTCCTGCGCACGCAGTTTCAATTGCCACCATTTTTTTTTTTTTTTTTTTGGGTAGAAGGTTCCGTGGAAAAGGTGGCCGAATTCCATAGGTAAACATTGAGATGAGTGGCTATTCATCAAGGGGAATATATCAATGATCTTTCAAGTAACAAAAGAGGACAGGAGCACTGTACAAGGTGTGGCCTGGGTCAGAGAGGAGCCCAATGTGCTAGATAGTCATAGACTCAAGTAGCCCAATAAACACAAACAAACACACTCATTCGGTTGGAATGAGTTGGGCCTGTACGCAGTGATCCTTGCCGGCTCCACCGGTCCTTGACCCAATGTGGAAAAGATAGCGTTAGCTTAGGACCAAAAGTAAATAAAAAAGATAGTTTGGGCAAAAATATCGGACCCTTCACAGGCCGCATGAGGGTTACAAAGGACTTCTTATTGACTCAATTTAAGCAAAGATGACTATAGCCTCAATTGAAGTAGGGGGATAATGTTACAGGCTATAGCCTTGTATGTGGATCCGGAAATACCCGATTTCGGCTATCAACAAGAGCAGACTAGAGTCAAAGTAAAACATGCTGGATGCGGACAAAGATTTTTGTGCGTACTTTGCAGAAATCTTCCCCTTTGGATAAAAAATAATTTCATTTTTGGACGCATAATAGTGAACAAAAATTATGAATTCCCTTCACAGGTTACCCCCTTGATCTTATTTCAAAGGTGACTTTATCATATTGAATTTCTTTATTATGATGGGAAAGATTGACCATTATTCTCGAGAGTTATGATGGGCAACCAAGGCAGCTGACCATCTACTCTGTGGAGATGTTGTAGTGTGTAGCTTATAAGGATGAAGTTTGATTCGAGTGGCAGTCGGCTTGGTTTAAATCAAGTATGCAAAAATACCAAAGTTGAATAAGGGAAAGTTCTTGTTGTACTTCAATACACAACAATCAGACTACTTGCTTACCAAATCCTACGTCTCATGCTAAACAAGATCTTTTGCCTATTGATTAACATAATCTTATAATCACAACTGGAAGATCCGGCCATCTCTTGCACAGCCAAACCACTTCACACCAATCAAATCAGGAAATAGTTATGATCGGATAATGACTCCAACAAGAGGCCGCTATGCTATTGCAGACATTTAAACATTAGTAGGGCTCCAGTTAGTTAAAATTTCGAGCCTTTGATTCCCTGCCCTTGACTCTTCCCTTGCATCACGCCGCTAGTGGGCCTAGAAAATTTTGGAAGCAGCAAGAGAAACTGACAAAGTAGGTGACTTGAGAACAAATACTCATCACAAAATTTTATATTATTGCAGTTGACTCTGTGACAAATCCTTGGGTTTTCCTTACTATGAATCATACAAGCGGATGAAGTGTATTTAAGGGCCACCACTGTGTACTGTAAATATTATGCCACGAACTATTGAAATTGCCAACATTTCATCTAGTGTACTCTATTGCATTGCAAAGTTTCTATGGGCCACTTGGCGGAGCTTATCTACAAATATCAAAATAAATCAAGAGCTTGTTAGTATGTTCGTAGTGGAGTTTGTGGATGGCGGGGTTAGCGTTGCTTCGATTCCAAGAACAAGCCTGTCAGGGCGCAGTGATGAAGTATCAAGATGGAATGCTTCAAGATTTGCAATTTGATCCATACGGCTTTGTTCCTATCGACGAGCTACCAGCTTGGCCAAGCAGGAAAATTCAGGTAGTAGATTTGTTGGAAATATTGCGCTATGAAATGGGCGCAATATTCATGGAACGAAAGTCGAAGTTGACTAAAGGAGTGTCATGTTCGGACTACAGGCAAAAGAGTGGGAAATGTGCACTACAAGTTCAAGTGTAAGCGACAGCATAAACGAGTGTGACGCCATTTAGGTAAAGAAAACCCCCAATAACCCCCTTGCGCCCATGCCATACAGCCGCTCCTATCTCCAATAGCTAGCCTGGGGCGCTACTATCCTACTCATTCCAATCTCTTAAATACACACAACATCTTTCCGGGAACCCGGACGAAATGGAGGACCCGTACATTCACAATACTCTGTGTCTCCATTTCCAACAAGAATGAAATAATAGATTTAGCTAATATAAGTGGTTGTCTGATGACAAACAAATGAACGAGGATGTCATGGTTTGCCCTTACATATCCCTCCACTGAACAAAAATTACTCTTCTTCTAATGATGGAATTAGGCCTGCATGACTGGGATTACAATTGATTTACAAGCCCTGTAAGCCGAGCTTTGCTCATCCATTCCTTTGGCTAAACCTGGTATGGAAGAAGAGCCGGATGCTGCAGAGTCAATTAATTGATATTCAAATAGTCAAGCACTGCTCCTTTGACTCTTGCTGACAGAATACCTGTGTTGAATAACAAAAACCAGACTCCAATCACTCCCATCACATCAGGTTTTTCTTCCCCAAGTCTTTGATTTTGCAATTAGATGACTCACTACCTTCAGCACTCAAATTTAATCTCTTGAGGACGTCCTCAAGATGAAGGCTCTATTTGCTGCTTCGATAGCCGGGTTGCCTACTCTCTTGCTCCTGGTGCCTACAGCATATGGACTGGATCATTATAGATGTGAAAGTAAACAATTATTCGACTATTCAGTTATTTGTGGTTACGCAGAACAAGCTTCCTTCAGCCAAATTCAAGGCGGAGACCCTTTTTTTGTTAGTGGAAATACCTACGGTGCATATCGATTTACAAGTCATCTACCAGATGGAAGTTTGTCTCCCCATTCATTCGACTTAGCTCTTACTAACCATCATTTTCCATGAATAGCTCCAAAAAATTACTTAATTCAGACTGTTAGTGTGGAGCCATACCGACGATTGTTTGAATATAATGACGGCAAATGGAAATTATGTAATCTGATTTAAAGCTAGTTGTGTGTACAGAAATGGCCCTTGAATTTGTAAATAAGGGGGATTTGTGTACGGAATGTTGAATACAATCATTTTGCAGTGCAGTTGAATTCAGAATGCAATTTTATGACATGCTCAGTTAACACCCCTCTCTTCTTTGACCAAAGCAACTAGATAGACTCGGAGGGCAAAGGCTAAACACCTGAACCCCCTATTCTCGGTTGAAAGAAAAATCACTTGAGGCAGAGCATATAAGTGCAGACTAAATATTTAGTTATGTAAAATATATATTTTAATCAAAACAAAAAGTAGCAATTGTATATTCTATTAAATCATGCAGAAGAAAACATACTATTGTCTGCCGTGTTCTCTCGTATTAGAAGTACAGCCATGCTCGAATGTATCCATACAATATTACTGGATGAACCTAAGTGGAGTATGAATAGTGAATTTAGGGATGGCGTTGGGAAGCCATTATGTAATGAAGAAAATTGTTACTAATAAGTTTATACTTCATTCTCAACATCCTCTACAAACCTGGGAGTTGCTGAAAACATAAATTACAGAGTTAAGTTAGGTGATGGTTATAGGCAATTTGTGATCAAGGTGTTTGTTGGTGTTACGGGTCCACAACTAATGTTGATCCCTCGCATATTAGCGCGCACTTGGCATATATGTAGAACGAGTTTTCCCTCTGTATTTACCTCTCATTCTTCATAGAGAATCTGAATAGACTACTTTCCCTCGTTTGATTGACTAAATCACGACCTGTTTCGTGACATATTCAGGTTCTGTCATTCTTACTACGTGTTGCGCGACGTCTCGCTTAAGCAGCACGCATCATCTGTTCAACCCCTGACAGCCGTCGTATTTCAATAGTCCAATTTGACTATACCAGCTTGGAAGAGTACTAACGCCAAGCACATCAGCTCATAGATACCGAATGGGCACTCCAGAAATTAAAGAAAAATTCAAACAAACTTTCGAGCAACCACCGTCCAGCCACCTTCCGATAAAAATGTTCGACAAGTGGCCAAAGTGGTCCGGCAACGCATCCGATTTTGCCACGTTCCAGATAAGCCTTGAAGGGATTGCAGAAGACGACAATATCAGGAAGTCCCTAGGCAACGAGAAGGCTTTCTGTTACGGGGTATATACCCACTCCTTACCTCCAGACGCTCAGAAAAGGGTTGCCCCATGGATGATTGAGAAAAAGAAATCCAAAGAGTGGAATATCCTGGAATTTTTGGCTGACCTGGAGGACCTCTTCACTGATAAAGACGCGCCGTCCAAAGCGCAGACTGCTCTGCACTCCATCAAACAAGGACCACGTCAACATTTCGCTAGATTTAGGAGTGTATTCGAACAGCACTGCTCCGAGGCTGGAATACTCGCTCCTAAGGACGCGTCCAAGGTCAACGCAATGAAAGAGGGGCTAGCGCCACATTTACGTAAAGGCCTTGCCTATAGATCCGGCATATCTGACACAGACTATGACAGCTTTGTATTCGAAGTTCAGGAAATGGCCAATGATTTGGAAAAGCTGCCCGAGTTCTCTATGTCCACGGGATCAGATTAGGAATTTTACCAACGCATCGACTTTTGGCGGCCTCCTCACACTCAAACCAACCAAGCTCAGGTTACTCCAGCCCATTCACAACATCAGCCTCAACCCAATCCCTACAGCAACTCTTTTACTCCTGTTGATCAGGACGGCGATGTCCAGATGGGTGGGATAAACGCCCTACAGGCCCAAATGCAATCTCTACTAGCTGCATTTAAAGGCACTCAAGGAAGAGGAGACTCTAGGAATAAAGAGTTTAGAACCGATAACCGTCCATTTCCGCCTGATTTACCTCAGCCAGAACGTAACCGTAGGGTTGAACAGGGTCAGTGTGAGAGATGCAGTAGATCTCCTTCACACAGATGGAGCGAGTATAGGTACCGAAATTTCCGCGTTAATCCTACACCTAGAGGCTCTGGTAGGTTCCGAAACTCGGTCGTCAATGCGGCCTCAACTAATTCCAACCTTTTCAATGAACATTTGTCTCGTTCTGATTTGGGAAACGAATGACCTCTGAGCGAAGTCGTGATCAGAGGCAACAGGTTTGGGATTCTTTTGGGATAAATCTGGCAACAAGGCCATCTAAAATTGAAATCTTACAGGCTAAGAATAGAATGGATAGCAAACCATTTTTAATAGATGCCTTTATAAATGATCATTTTTATCTCTCAGCTCTTTTTGACTCCGGCTGCCTTTCATATGCTGCATTTAGTGAAGAGACTGTTAAAAAAAGAAACCTACCACGCATTCTTGTAGAACCTAGAGAGCTTAAGCTTGCGAAAGATGATGATAAAAGCTACAAAATTAACTATATTACGTTCGTTACTTTAGATATTAGCGGCCGAAAAGAAAGATTATGGGGATACTTAATCCACGGATTACACTATGATCTAATCCTCGGAAAAGGCTGGGCCGAAAGAAATAACGCTGTCTACCAAGCAGGAGACCATGTCTTGCATATTGGTCAAGGACTTCAGAAAGTGAAGATTTACGAAAGTACCGAGAGTAGCAGTGACCAAGCTGAAGATTTAACAAAATATATAAGAGAAGCCAAATTAGTGTCTGCGCATGTATTTTCTGCCCTTACAAGGTTTCACGGATCCGTAAATAGAATTTTAATACTAATATTAATTTGTGATAAGATTAAGGGGTAGTTAATTAAAACCATCAATTTAATAATAGCTTCCCCTATACAATTAGTCATGTAAAACGTCATGTAAGGATATACAAGGGAGTCATGAAGAGAAGGACAAGAACACAGCCATTAATGCGAACATATTGGCAAGAATTGATTACGATTAATTCCGGTTGGCAAAGGCTTCTACTCTTGTATATAATAGTTCAGCGTGAGAGAGATTTACTCCTCACGCAACGTCTTCTTTATCTACCCTTTACAATACATTTGTTAACCCATCTCTTCTTCGGGAAGACCATATATCCATTGCCCAGTTCTTCATCAGCAAGACCCACGTGTAACATCTACTGCAACTAGTTGCCCATTCATCTCTTCCTAGAGAAGACCTGTCATTCCTTTGACCCATTTACAACCTTCACTTACCACCTAGATCTTTACTAGGCTATACAACGCACCCCGTGGAACACTATCAAACCCTCATCCCTGAGACAAGGCGCGCGCGTAACAATTAGGAAGAACTTGTCCTTGCATCTGTCACCATATCGGACATAAATAAAGCATTGGAAAAACTAAGTGAAACGCGTGTCAGACCTACTGTTGAATCAATCCGTGGGTTACTTCCTGGACAACTGCATGGGCTCGAAGAGGTTTTCCTAGAAGATAGCTCAAGTGACCTACCCCCTCATTGACCTGGACACAATATGGAAATTGACCTCGAAAAAGATGAAAAAAATGTTGAAAAAAACCGCCATATGGGCCTCATTATGAAATGTCAAGAGAAGAATTGTTAGTTCTTCGCAAAACTTTAGCAGATCTCCTAGATAAGGGATGGATACGCGCGAGTGCTTCACCTGCTAGTTCACCGGTATTGTTTGCCAAAAAGCCCTCTGGTGGCCTGCGGTTTTGCGTTGACTACCGCAGTCTTAACGCTATTACAAAAAAAGACCGTTATCCTCTACCGCTCATCCGAGAGACCCTACGCCAACTATCTAAAGCACGTTGGTTCACTAAAATAGATGTGCACGCAGAATTCCACAGATTGCGAATCAAGGGGACGAATGGAAAACAGACTTCCGTACCAGACAAGGTCTTTTTGAATGGTTAGTATGCCCCTTTGGTCTTTGTGGAGCGCCTTCAACATTTCAAAGGTTTATTAATAATACTTTGCGCGAGTATCTGGACATCTTTTGTTCTGCATACTTAGACGATGTGATAATCTATACTGACAGAGACCTGCAAGACCATTATGGTAAAGTCCGTAAAGTTATTGACGCTTTAAAAATCGCGGGTCTACGCATGGACATTGACAAATGTGCTTTTGGCGTTAAAGAAATAAAATACTTGGGTTTCATCATTGAAATCGGTAATGGCATTAAGGTAGATCCGGAAAAGGTATCTGCTATAACCAAGTGGGAAGAGCCAGAAACTGTGTCAGCTGTTCGTTCTTTTCTAGGGTTCGCGAATTTCTACCGTGAATTCATCCATAATTTCTCTGCCATTTGTGAACCTTTAAATAACCTCACCAAAAACGGTGCAGCTTGGGTATGGGAAGAGCCCCAAAGAAAATCTTTCGATAAGTTGAAAGGACTGTTAATTACCGCACCTGTCCTCAAAATGTTTGATCCAGAGGCGGAGACAATTTTGGAAGCAGACTCATCTGGGTATGCCATAGGGGGCGTAGTCTCGCAGATGGATGAAAAACGCCGCCTCCGGCCAGTGGGTTTTTTCAAGGAAGCTCACTGCAGCTGAATCCAACTACGAGATTCACGACAAAGAACTGCTAGCTATTCTATCAACAATTAAACACTTTCGAGGTGAGCTACGCAGTGTCAGTACTCCTTTCCTTGTCCTTTCTGACCATTGTAACCTTCGTTATTTCATGTCAACTAGGCAGTTGTCCGAGCGTCAAGTTTGCTGGGCAGAAGAACTTTCCAACTACAATTTCGAAATTAAATTAAGACCAGGAATAGAATCAACCAAACCAGACCTGCTGTCAAGAAAGACAGAATTTAAGCCAAAAGATTTTAACGATGAAAGATTGAAAAGGAGAGAGTTCCAACTCCTTAAACAAAGATGGGTCTCACCGTTAGCTAAAGAAGAGCCACCTATCCACTTAAATCTTTCGGTAATGGAAACTAGGAGACGGGCAAAAGCCAGTATAATTCAATTGCCAAACCAAGATCTGAAACCTATTGGCCAGGCGCCGCCATTGTCGAGAGTTGCGGTCGTTGAGGGACCTCCTAAGGGAAAAGATATCTTCGACGAAATACATATTCAAAAATTATGGGATCAAGTAACGAAAAAGGATCCATCCTT